TCGAGATTCGAGAGATGAAAATTGATGTTTAGGTCTAGTTTCAATAGGCAGGTTAATTTATAGATGGTTAAGTTGAGATTCGAGAGATGAGATTTAATACCGGTAAATTAACTCTGTGATTGTAATACGTAGCAAAAGCCCTTTATGATCTGATTAATTGATGCATTGATGTTTGATTGTTATGTTTTACCCTGGAATATTGTTTATTGGTGAACCTATGCCCTAGGCTTTTATTTCATTGATTTCCCTCCTACTTTTATTCCTTCCCACTTTTAGTCATAGTAGTTTAGTTCCCTTTTATAATAACAATTTGGTTACTTGATAATTTAGATTATTTTGATTAATTAGGAATAAATTAACTCGTTTCCTTGTGGTTCGACCCTTCTTCCCTATCTACATAGTTAGTGGATTTAGGTATTATTTTTTATTGGGTGATTACAACTTTAGCCTGTCAAAATTTGCGCCGTTGCCGGGGAAACGGTTTTATTTTTATTTCTAATTATTTTTAGAGTCTAGATTATTATTTTTAGTTTTTATTTTTATTTGTTTTTTTTATGAGTTGAAAATATCCTTGCTTACGCCACTTCAAGAATTATATGATTTTTATGCAGCACCTGAATACTGTCTTTGTCAATATCGTCTTGTCATGATAATCCTGAATGTCCTTATAGTGAGTTTTTTATGCGTGCTACGGATGATTTTAGAGTCTTTCCATATAAATATGATCATATTCGGAAACGATTAGTTGCTAATGAAAGTTATTGGAAGGCTCTTGATGAAAAAGCCTATGGACAATATAATAATATGCATGTTATTAAGGATGAAGAACCATCCGTTATAGACTTGGTGGTTGAAACATCATTGGTCGACGAATCGGTGATTGAAAAATCATTAGTTGTAGAAACGGTGATTGAAAATTCCTTTTTTGATGATGAAGTTACTCATAAGGGTAAAATTTTCAAGTCATTATTGGATGATAAAGACAATGAATACCTCCATGTTCGTTCTATTAATTCTAAATTTTTAACGGAAGAAGTAGAAGGTTATGGTGTATTTTCAACTCTCTCTTTTGATTTTTCCTTCTACCTTGAGTTCTCTTTATGTGCTCCTAACCTTTTCTTTGTAGGGATTAAAGTGCTTGCAATTAAGCCCTATATAGTGTTTAATGAAATGTTTACAGGAGCATTTGATAAGTTATTGTTGGAATATTTCCAATAATAATGTTATGTGTGAGAGGTTATCCCACATGGAAAAAGTAAGAAGGGAATGTATTATTTATATTGTAAACAATTAGATATGAGTTATGAAATGGGCTAAGTGTTGTTTTTGGACAAGTGGGCTAAGTGGCTTATATATATTTATAATCAAAGACTTAGCACTTAGCACTTGGCCACTTGACACGGACACGGAAATTAAAGCCTAATACGATAATTAATTTTTGTCGGTTTATTTTTAACTCTGACTATTTAATTATATATTATTTAATATTTAATTAAATGTAAATTGAACAGTTACAATTATCATAACTGCTCATTATTATCTTTTCGGATAACTGCCAATATTTGATCTATTTAAGATCAATTATGGATGAATTGACGTTCATCCTGTTCTTCTCCCCTTTTCTCTGTTTTCCCCAAAAACTCTAGGGTCTCATGATCGTTAGTACTAAACGCTCTTGAGTGTATATCTTTGTATCCCAAAAACGTGTTCATCATAGCCTTGTTAGTATGGTGGGGCGAATAACGTTTTTAGGAAAGTGTTCTTCGTACACGCCTAGATCCATTATTTGTTTTTGTTGTTCCAATTAATTTTTTCAACCAACAATCTAAAAACGTTATTCCTGAAATATGGCATCGAAAATGAAAGACTTGGCTACGAACTTTGTCAAACTTGACAGGTTCGATGGAGGCAATTTTAGGCGCTGGCAGAAGAAGGTTCACTTCCTGTTGACAACCCTCAATGTGGCGTATGTTCTGACTCAGGAAGTACCACAAGAGGTTGAGAATGAAACCGTGGCTCAGAGTCGTGCAAGGCTGAAGCATGAAAACGACAATTTCATCTGTCACGGCCACATACTCAATGCCATGGAGGATACTCTATTCGATACTTATCTTCATGTTACTAGTGCAAAGGAATTATGGGAGATGTTAGAGTCCAGATACATGAAAAAAGATGTTACGAGTAATAAATTTATTGTTTCCCAATTCAATTCCTACATGATGAAAGACAATAGGTCAGTTATGGAACAATTCCATGAAATTGAACGACTTCTTGGTCACTTTAAACAGCATAAAGTCGATGGTAGTGCAAGGTTTTACACAAAAAGAAGGGATTGCAAACCAATTGGTTGCAAGTGGATTTTCAAAAGAAAAAGAAAAGTCGATGGTACAATCGAAAAATTCAAAGCACCGTTGGTAGTGCAAGGTTTTACACAAAAAGAAGGGATTGACTACTTTGATACCTATGCTCCTGTAGCTAGGACAAGTACAATTAGGATGCTTCTTGCTTTAGCTTCTATCCATGGTTTGGTAATTCACCAAAAGGACGTAAAAACTTCTTTTATAAATGGTGATTTAGAAGAGGAAATTTACATGAAACAACACGAAGGGTTTGTTGTTCAAGGACAAGAGCACAAGGTCTGCAAGTTAAATAAATCCTTGTATGGACTAAAGCAAGTGCCAAAATAGTGGCATCAAAAATTTGATGAAGTTGTTCTTGGGTAAGGTTTTTCCATTAATGATGCTGATAAATGTGTTTACACAAAGTTTAATGGAAAAAAGGGTGTCATCATATGTCTTTATGTTGATGACATGTTGATTTTTGGTACTGACCTTGATGAGGTTGAAAATACCAAAGGATTTCTATCTGAAAATTTTTCCATGAAGGACATGGGAGATGCAGATGTTATTCTTAGAATAAAAATTTCAAGGAATGCTAATGGATTGTGTTTGTCTCAATCTCATTACATTGAAAAGGTGTTACGGAAGTTTGCTAACTTTGATTGCAAACCTGTTTCTACACCTTTTGATCCGAGTATTAAGCTCACAAAGAACAAGGGAACTCCAATCTCTCAATTGGAGTATGCAAGAGTAATAGGTTGCCTAATGTATGCTATGACATGTACAAGACCGGACATTGCTTTTGTTGTTGGTAAACTAAGTCAGTTTACAAGTAATCCAAGTGATGCCCATTGGCATGTTGTAAGAAGGGTGCTTAAGTACCTCAAGAAAACAGTTAATTTTGGATTATGCGTTTGTGGTTATCCTTCAGTTTTGGAAGGGTATTCGGATGCTAGTTGGATTACTAGTAGTGATGATTATGCTTCCAAAAGTGGATGGATTTTTACTCTTGGTGGGGGTTCAAGAAACAAACTTGCTTGGCAGATTCAACTATGGCTGCTGAATTCATTGCTTTAGCTTCTTCGGGCAAAGAAGCAGAATGGCTAAGAAATTTTTTGTATGATATGCCCTTGTGGTCAAAACCTATGTCACCTATCTCAATTCATTGTGATAGTGAAGCAACATTAGCAAGGGCATATAGTCAAGTTTACAATGGTAAATCAAGGCATATTGGTTAACGTCATAGTTATGTTAAAGGTCTTATTCAAGATGGTGTCATAACTGTGGATTTTGTGCGCTCAAGTCAAAATTTGGCCGATCCTTTGACTAAAGGACTTGCAAGAGATTTGGTTAATAAAACAAGTAAAGGGATGGGCCTAAAGTCCATTGTGATCACCAATGATGGAACCTCAACTTGACACTCGTGATTACCCTCGAGTCTTAAGTTCAATGAGTCAAAGTACGTTATTTGTGTGGTTGAAGAGCACTAATCATTGTATTTTTCATCCCGAGAATTATAGTGCTTATATTAGTTCCCATTTGTATTAAAGTAGGGTGAGCATAGCTCTTAATAAACTTCAAATAGAATTTATTTGAATTGTAATATAAGTATTGTAATATTTTATTATTTTATTATAATGTGTGCTTATATATTCAAATATTTCTATTATAATACTTTAATGGGAGTATTGTGAAGTTTACCTAAGTGAGCGTAAAGTTTGGCCGCTTTAAGGATTTTTAGGACTTTTAACTCTGAGGCGCTCATGGTTGGATACATGACACATGGCCATTTTAAATGTGTAGTCTCTTTTCTAGATTTTAAGGGGATTAAAATCTTGTGTGTAATTTGGATTTAATTAGTTAAAGAGGATCACTGGTTCAAAGCATAGTCTACCATGTCATCCTGACTATTTGAAAACAAATTTACTAAGTAAAGGTTCAATCGTAAGACACCTTTATTTATGCATAAGGTTTTCAGAGTTTCCATTAATTTTGGAAATGGTGGGGGATTGTTGGAATATTTCCAATAATAATGTTATGTGTGAGATGTTATCCCACATGGAAAAAGTAAGAAGGGAATGTATTGTTTATATTGTAAACAATTAGATATGAGTTATGAAATGGGCTAAGTTGTGTTTTTGGACAAGTGGGCTAAGTGGCTTATATATATTTATAATCAAAGACTTAGCACTTAGCACTTGGCCACTTGACACGGACACGGAAATTAAAGCCTAATACGATAATTAATTTTTGTCGGTTTATTTTTAACTCTGACTATTTAATTATATATATTATTTAATATTTAATTAAATGTAAATTGAAAAGTTACAATTATCATAACTGCTCATTCTTATCTTTTCGGATAACTGCCAATATTTGATCTATTTAAGATCAATTATGGATGAATTGACGTTCATCCTGTTCTTCTCCCCTTTTCTCTGTTTTCCCCGAAAACTCTAGGGTCTCATGATCGTTAGTACTAAACGCTCTTGAGTGTATATCTTTGTATCCTAAAAACGTGTTCATCATAGCCTTGTTAGTATGGTGGGGCGAATAACGTTTTTAGGAAAGTGTTCTTCATACACGCCTAGATCCATTATTTGTTTTTGTTGTTCCAATCAATTTTTTCAACCAACAATCTAAAAACGTTATTCCTGAAATATGGCATCGAAAATGAAAGACTTGGCTACGAACTTTGTCAAACTTGACAGGTTCGATGGAGGCAATTTTAGGCGCTGGCAGAAGAAGGTTCACTTCCTGTTGACAACCCTCAATGTGGCGTATGTTCTGACTCAGGAAGTACCACAAGAGGTTGAGAATGAAACTGTGGCTCAGAGTCGTGCAAGGCTGAAGCATGAAAACGACAATTTCATCTGTCACGGCCACATACTCAATGCCATGGAGGATACTCTATTCGATACTTATCTTCATGTTACTAGTGCAAAGGAATTATGGGAGATGTTAGAGTCCAGATACATGAAAAAAGATGTTACGAGTAATAAATTTATTGTTTCCCAATTCAATTCCTACATGATGAAAGACAATAGGTCAGTTATGGAACAATTCCATGAAATTGAACGACTTCTTGGTCACTTTAAACAGCATAATATGAATATGGATGAATCTATTGTTGTTTCAAGTATTGTTGATAAATTACCCCACTCTTGGAAGGATTTTAAGCATAGTTTAAAACATAAGAAAGAAGATATTTCTCTTGAAGAACTTGCTAACAATTTTCGTGTTGAAGAGGAATTTCGTAAACAGGAAGACACTAAGAAACAACATGTTTCTAGTGTTAATGTTGTAGAAACTAGAGAATCCAGTAAGGCACAAAGCAAGAAGATAAAGGGCAAACCGAACAAGCAAAATTAGAAAAATATGAACAAGAAACAATGCTGGAATTGTGGCAACCCTGATCACTTCAAGAAAAACTGTCCAAAAAAGAAGAGCAAAGGGAACAAGCAGAACTCGGGTGGGCAGAACACGAGTGGGCAGAAAAATTCTGAGAAACAGGATGTTTTTGTTGCTGTAATTTCGGAAGTCAATATGATTCAAGATGACAATTCTTGGTGGATTGATTCTAGTGCAACAAAGCATGTGTGCAAGGACAAGTCGCTGTTTGCTTCTTATGTTCCTATAGAAGAAGGAACGGTCCTATACATGGGAAATTCGTCCACCACCGAAGTGCTTGGAAAGGGCAGCGTTGTGATTGAGTTTACTTCTGGAAAATTTCTGACTTTGAATGATGTTTATCATGTTCCTGAAATTAGGAAGAATCTTGTATCGGGTAGTCTTTTAAACCGTTTTGGTTTTAAGCTTGTGTTTGAATATGATACTTTTGTAATCTCTAAGGGTGGGTTGTTTGTAGGAAAAGGCTATCTTCATGATGGCATGCTTAAGCTAAACATTATTAATAAATTTTTTGTTAATTCTGCTTATTTGCTTGACTCTTTTTCATTATGGCATCATCGTTTAGGACATGTACATTTTAAACGTATGAATGATATGGCTAATTTGAACTTAATTCCTTATGTTGGCAAATGTAATGAAAAGTGTAAAACTTGTATGGTTACTAAAATTACGAGGCAGTCTTTTCCTTCCATTCAAAGAGAATCAAATTTGCTTGATATTGTACATAGTGATTTGTGTGAAATGAATGGAGTTATTACTAACGGTGGGAAAAGATATTTCGTGACCTTTATAGATGGCCATTCTCGTTATTGTTATGTTTATTTGCTGCATAGTAAGGATGAGGCACTTGACAAATTTAAGATTTACAAACCTGAAGTAGAATTTCATTATGAATCTTTTATTAAGTGCTTAAGATCAGATAGGGGAGAAGAATATTATAATCCTTCATATTTCCAATCAACTGAAATTGTTCATGAACTTACGGCACCCTACACACCACAACAAAATGATGTGGCCGAAAGGAAAAACAGGGTTCTAACGGAAATGGTTAATGCAATGTTCTATATTTCAGGATTAGAACAAGGTTTTTGGGGTGAAGCAGTTCTAACTCCTTGTCACATTTTAAATCGGGTTCCAAATAAGAGAAATAAGAAAACTCCTTATGAACTTTGGAATAAAAGAAGACCTAACTTGACATACTTGAAAGTTTGGGGGTGTAGAGCAATTGTTAGAGTTCCTGAACCTAAAAGAAAGAAACTAGGTGAAAGAGGAATTGAGTGTATTTTCATTGGTTATGCTATGCATAGTAAGGCATATAGATTTGTAGTAATTGAGCCAAATAGTTTTATTTCAATTAATACTGTCATTGAATCTAGAGATGATGTATTTGATGAAAATAGGTTCACTTCAATTCCTAGGCCTAAGGACTTAGTTGTTAACACCCCGTTGGAACAAGCTAGTGAAGCTCCACAAGAAGTTAGGCGAAGTAAAAGGATTAGAAAGGCTAAAGATTTTGGACCAGATTTTGTAACCTTTCTGGTGGAAGGATCAAGAGAAACAATTTGTGATTCTGTTCCTTAATGTCTAAACATAGAGGATGATCCTTTGACTTTCAGTAAAGCTATGAAGTCTCCTGATGCAGCTTTTTGGAAAGAAGCGGTAAATGACGAAATGGATTCGATCATGGGTAATAAAACCTGGAAATTGGTGGATCTTCCACCAGCTTGCAAACCAATTGGTTGCAAGTGGATTTTCAAAAGAAAAAGAAAAGTCGATGGTACAATCGAAAAATTCAAAGCACCGTTGGTAGTGCAAGGTTTTACACAAAAAGAAGGGATTGACTACTTTGATACCTATGCTCCTGTAGCTAGGACAAGTACAATTAGGATGCTTCTTGCTTTAGCTTCTATCCATGGTTTGGTAATTCACCAAAAGGACGTAAAAACTTCTTTTATAAATGGTGATTTAGAAGAGGAAATTTACATGAAACAACACGAAGGGTTTGTTGTTCAAGGACAAGAGCACAAGGTCTGCAAGTTAAATAAATCCTTGTATGGACTAAAGCAGGTGCCAAAATAGTGGCATCAAAAATTTGATGAAGTTGTTCTTGGGTAAGGTTTTTCCATTAATGATGCTGATAAATGTGTTTACACAAAGTTTAATGGAAATAAGGGTGTCATCATATGTCTTTATGTTGATGACATGTTGATTTTTGGTACTGACCTTGATGAGGTTGAAAATACCAAAGGATTTCTATCTGAAAATTTTTCCATGAAGGACATGGGAGATGCAGATGTTATTCTTGGAATAAAAATTTCAAGGAATGCTAATGGATTGTGTTTGTCTCAATCTCATTACATTGAAAAGGTGTTAAGGAAGTTTGCTAACTTTGATTGCAAACCTGTTTCTACACCTTTTGATCCGAGTATTAAGCTCACAAAGAACAAAGGAACTCCAATCTCTCAATTGGAGTATGCAAGAGTAATAGGTTGCCTAATGTATGCTATGACATGTACAAGACCGGACATTGCTTTTGTTGTTGGTAAACTAAGTCAGTTTACAAGTAATCCAAGTGATGCCCATTGGCATGTTGTAAGAAGGGTGCTTAAGTACCTCAAGAAAACAGTTAATTTTGGATTATGCGTTTGTGGTTATCCTTCAGTTTTGGAAGGGTATTCGGATGCTAGTTGGATTACTAGTAGTGATGATTATGCTTCCAAAAGTGGATGGATTTTTACTCTTGGTGGGGGTTCAAGAAACAAACTTGCTTGGCAGATTCAACTATGGCTGCTGAATTCATTGCTTTAGCTTCTTCGGGCAAAGAAGCAGAATGGCTAAGAAATTTTTTGTATGATATGCCCTTGTGGTCAAAACCTATGTCACCTATCTCAATTCATTGTGATAGTGAAGCAACATTAGCAAGGGCATATAGTCAAGTTTACAATGGTAAATCAAGGCATATTGGTTAACGTCATAGTTATGTTAAAGGTCTTATTCAAGATGGTGTCATAACTGTGGATTTTGTGCGCTCAAGTCAAAATTTGGCCGATCCTTTGACTAAAGGACTTGCAAGAGATTTGGTTAATAAAACAAGTAAAGGGATGAGCCTAAAGTCCATTGTGATCACCAATGATGGAACCTCAACTTGACACTCGTGATTACCCTCGAGTCTTAAGTTCAATGAGTCAAAGTACGTTATTTGTGTGGTTGAAGAGCACTAATCATTGTATTTTTCATCCCGAGAATTATAGTGCTTGTATTAGTTCCCATTTGTATTAAAGTAGGGTGAGCATAGCTCTTAATAAACTTCAAATAGAATTTATTTGAATTGTAATATAAGTATTGTAATATTTTATTATTTTATTATAATGTGTGCTTATATATTCAAATATTTCTATTATAATACTTTAATGGGAGTATTGTGAAGTTTACCTAAGTGAGCGTAAAGTTTGGCCGCTTTAAGGATTTTTAGGACTTTTAACTCTGAGGCGCTCATGATTGGATACATGACACATGGCCATTTTAAATGTGTAGTCTCTTTTCTAGATTTTAAGGGGATTAAAATCTTGTGTGTAATTTGGATTTAATTAGTTAAAGAGGATCACTGGTTCAAAGCATAGTCTACCATGTCATCCTGACTATTTGAAAACAAATTTACTAAGTAAAGGTTCAATCGTAAGACACCTTTATTTATGCATAAGGTTTTCAGAGTTTCCATTAATTTTGGAAATGGTGGGGGATTGTTGGAATATTTCCAATAATAATGTTATGTGTGAGATGTTATCCCACATGGAAAAAGTAAGAAGGGAATGTATTGTTTATATTGTAAACAATTAGATATGAGTTATGAAATGGGCTAAGTTGTGTTTTTGGACAAGTGGGCTAAGTGGCTTATATATATTTATAATCAAAGACTTAGCACTTAGCACTTGGCCACTTGACACGGACACGGAAATTAAAGCCTAATACGATAATTAATTTTTGTCGGTTTATTTTTAACTCTTACTATTTAATTATATATTATTTCATATTTAATTAAATGTAAATTGAACAGTTACAATTATCATAACTGCTCATTCTTATCTTTTCGGATAACTGCCAATATTTGATCTATTTAAGATCAATTATGGATGAATTGACGTTCATCCTGTTCTTCTCCCCTTTTCTCTGTTTTCCCCGAAAACTCTAGGGTCTCATGATCGTTAGTACTAAACGCTCTTGAGTGTATATCTTTGTATCCCAAAAACGTGTTCATCATAGCCTTGTTAGTATGGTGGGGCGAATAACGTTTTTAGGAAAGTGTTCTTCGTACACGCCTAGATCCATTATTTGTTTTTGTTGTTCCAATCAATTTTTTCAACCAACAGTTACTCAAGGCGTTGAATTCTTCCAATTGAGAGAAGGAGTATGGTCGAGCGGGACCTTGATAAACTAGGGCTTTGTGGGAGGCAACCCGTACTTTATTTTGCTTTTTAGTTTAGTTTTTTCTTATTTTGTGTGTGTGTGTGTGTTTTATTTTTTTTTTTAATTTTTTTCTTTTAGAGAGGTAAGGAGAGCGTAACTTATGCTTGTGAGATTTTGTTTTTGTGCAGATTTTGAGCTAGAGAAGGCTTCATTCACGCTGGAACTGCACTCGTATTCGATCGGGTAGAGCTCGCCCGATCGGGCGCGCGTAGCGTCAGTAAAATTTGTCAACTTCGATAGGCCATTACTTTTGCGTTTCTTATTGGATTTTGACGTGTGACCTATTGTTGGAAAGATCTTCAAGTATAATTTCTAATGAAATTATAATCACTGCATTATCACTTATATATCAAAAGTTATTATAGAAAGAGTACACCTGACTCAAATTTGGAATTTTTTCCACTAACACTTTGTTTCTTTCTTGCCCAAATTTATTCCAAAGAGATGCATTGCAATTCTTGAGGCTTTGGTGACATTATTGTGGTGATGTTGAGGAG